TGTTCTGACAGGCCTGGGGCTAAAAAGCTGTTGCCCCCGTCTCGAATGGTATGACTGTTGTGTGTTTTTAAATTATGCATTGTTTTGTGCCGTTTTAATTTTTGTTTGTATCCCCTTTCCCTGGTTTGAGTTGTGAGCCGCCCTGAGTCCCCTTCAGGGGAAAAGGGCGGCATATAAATAAAATAAACATTCAAACATTCACAATCACTCCACCTACATATGGAAATGTCTGACTAGTTCCCTCCCCCTGTCCCCCACCCCCATTACTTGTATGAGGATTATTCTCTATTGGATTGCACCAGTAGAGGCTAAACCAATTTTGTTGTATACATGATGTACAATGACAATAAAGGCTACGGAACTAAGATTGGACAAGGAGAATTCTGGGAGGCCCTTTATTCTTTGGAAAGTACTTTATTCTTGGTGATCTGAAACGAAATGTGGTGGAACAGATTGGGTAAACACTAAGGATCTTGAATCTCCCCAGAAACAAGCCAATGATCTTGTGAACACCCTGAAGAAGTGTACACCTCATTACATCCGTTGCATTAAGCCCAACGAGACGAAGAGGCCACGAGACTGGGAAGAGAGTCGGTAAGAGCGAAGGAGTTACTAATGGCCCGCACAAATCTCCATATCAAAACCACGAACCAAAAGCAAAACTTAATCTTAAAATGCATTTAAGATATGAATCGATCCTGTGACAGGTAGTCCTTGACTTATGACCACAATGGGGACCAGAATTTCTGATGCTGAGTAAGGTCGTTAAGTGAACCACACCTGATTTTTTACAAACTTCTTTGCCACAGGTGTTAAGCAAAACACTACAGTTCTCAAGTAAATCGTGCAATTGGTCCTTAAGCGAATCTCTCTTCCCCCATTGACTTTGCTTGCCGGAAGCCAGGTGGGAAGGTCACAAATGGTGATCACGTGACCCTGAAATGCTGCAATTGGGGTAAATCCATGAGGCTTGTTCAGCACCCAAATTTTGATCATGTGACCACTGTGATGGTCATAAGGGTGAGGATCAATTGTTTGTCAGTTTTTTTCAGTGCTATTGTAACTTTGAACAGTTGCTAAAGCAAAGTTGTAAGTTGAGAATTACCTAGGCTTGCTAATTGGCCTGGCCTCTCCCATTTCTAAGACGTCTTCCCTCGTTAGCAGTTTTCATAAAATCAAGGTCCTTGAGAGGTACATCCTCCTGCTATGTTACACATGCATCTTGCAGGGTGAAGCATCAAGTGGAGTACCTGGGACTGAAGGAGAATATCCGAGTCCGCCGAGCTGGATTTGCATATCGCAGAATCTTTCATAAATTCCTGCAAAGGTAAGATGTTAGATTGTTGTTATCAGACTGGTTAGAGGATAGATAGATAGATAGATAGATAGATAGATAGATAGATAGATAGATAGATAGATAGATAGATAGATAGATAGATAGATATAGATAGA